GACATTGTCAGAAGACCTCTTCAAGCCAGGGAAGTAGCGCTCATCAAAATCAGCTCTCTCAGAGATAACAGTGCGCTTGGTGGTAGGATTGTAGAATTTCCATCCCTTGTACCCCTCAGGGTAACCAATAAACACACATTTCCATTTCTCCATATGAGAGCCAAAGACGCCTCTTTTGTCCTTTTGCACATGCACATAGGCAGTGCAGCCCCAAACGCGAAGGTGAGACATGTCAGGCTTGCGTCCATACCACAACTCAAATGGAGTGGCATGGGCCACTGCATCAGTGGGACACCTGTTCCAGACATGCACCAAAGCGGACAGACATTCACCCCAGAAGCTGTTAGGCAATGCAGACTCTGATAACATGGCAGTGATACGCTCAGTCAGAAGTCTGTTTGCTCGCTCTGCCACACCATTCTGCTGAGGACAATTCCTGGTGGTATGCTGTCTGACAATCCCATGGTCATCTGTGAATTGCTCAAATTCCTTGGACATGTACTCTCCCCCTTTGTCATTGCGCAGAGCCTTGATTTTACGCTCCAATTGAGTCTCAGCATAAGCCTTGAATCTCTTAAAAGCATCAAAGACATCTGACTTGGCCTTGAGAGGCACAACAACACGGAATCAACTGTGATCGTCAATGAAGGTGACCCAGTAGCGATAACCAGAGAATGTGGGGGAAGAGACTTGGTGTACATCAGAATGGATGAGGTCCAAAGGATGAGCAGAGCGAGTATCAGATGAGGGGAATGGATTGGCATGCATCTTGCCAGACAAGCACAGTTCACAGACAGGATCAGGAGCAGCCTTGGATTCCAGTGTAAGCCCAGTGACCAGATCTCTCTGTATCAGTCTCTTGACATCAGCATGATGGTGGTGAGCCAATCTGCGATGCCAGAGCATCAAATCAAGTGGTATAGTCGCAGTAAAATGTCCCAATTCAACACAAGCAGCAGTAGATCCATCAAGGAATGCTGCATTGTTGTCATTGATAGTTGCAGTGAACAAGAGAGTGTTGTCATGCATAAAGGACATGGAATGAGACGAAATAGTGACATTGAAACCACTTTGACGAGTTAAATACAAGACTGAGAGGAGATTATTTCGAAGATCTGGTACATGGAGCACTCTAGAGAATTCCACAGCCCTAGCCACTTTGCCATTCATCACAGGATTAAACACCACAGTACCAACACCAGCTGAATAGACAACAGTGTGATCAGCCAGCTTGATTGGCACACGATATGGGGTATAGTGGTGCACCCAATGACGATGAGGTGTCATATGAGAAGTGGCGCCTGTGTCTGCATTCCAATCAATGTCAGCATCAAGTTGGAGAGGGCAATGAGGATCAGAGGGATGAATGGAACAAAAACTTGCATTTCAAGCTGATTCAGTGACCGCAGTAGATGAATTGGCATTGTTGGGCGAAGATTTGGGCTGCTGAGAGGTATTCTGAGAGTTGCTGGAGCCTGACTGAGCCTTATTGCCACGCTTGTAGCAATTTTTAGCACCCTCCACTGCCTGTTGGCGACTAGCAATGTATCTGTGGCATTTATCTTGGGTATGACCAAGTAAACCACAGAAATCACACTGAACGCGAGTAGAGGTGGTGGATTGGTTGCAATGATGGCAGTTAGGATGGGTGCAGGTGCTATTGGCAGTGGTAGACGAAGAATGCAAGGCAGAATCGACTTCAGCACGACGACAGTGATTGACCTCTTCAGCAAGGAAAGCATCCCTGAGCTGGGTCTTGTCCAAGGTGCCCAGAAGTAGTAGAGATGAAGTGAAGTGGGCATATTGATCAGGAAGCGCCCTAATCATGGCCATGCATGTCAATTCATCGTCCAATTCAGACAATGAGAAGCCAGTAGGACAAAGATTTTGAATCTGATGCATGCCTTTGTCAATTCTGGTCATGAGAGACTGCAGGGACTCGTCCTCCTTCTTTCTGATAGAGAAGAAGTCGTCATAGGCATTAAATCTTGTCCCAGGCTTCTTAGTGACGTGCACAATTGCCAGTTTCTCCCAGATCTTGACTGGATCATCAATGATGCCATCAAGATGGATGCACTGCTCTTTGGTGACATTGAGGTATAATGCACCAGCAGCCTTTTCAGCTCCCAACTCCCATTTCTCTATTGCTTCAGCGTCAGTCCCAGGACACTTTTCAGCGCTAGAGACGAGCCTCCACAGTCCCTTGGTCATCAACCAAGCTTGCATTTCACCACTCCACTGGGGGTAGTTAGTGCCAGACAAGGGATGGAACTTGGGATCAGAGTCAGACATGATGGGTGTTGTATAAGACAATAGAGCAATGATAAATGATGTAAGAGACGGCTATAGGCGATGGAATAGTGGCAAAGACAATGGGCAACAGTAGGAGGCGAGCAGATAAGATGGTGAGGCGGTAGAGAGAGGATATGGAGAGGGTCAGAAAGCGCAAGGATAGGTCCAAATAGCGTCCAGAAAGCGTCCAAAGCAATCCAGGAGGGTGCTAAGGCTTCCTAGTGCTGCTACAGGGTTACACCTGTGTTCCCCTTTCAATTCCACACTGATATTAACAGAGAAATCGCCTCGAGACAGTGTTGGTTAATAGGGCTTGTATATGAGTCAACAAAGTGACTTAAGCTCCCCAAACACCGCAGACTGAGAGAGGCTCTAGGCAACAGCAAACTGAGGCAATGCAGGCGAGCTTCACAGTCTATAGGCTTGTTCTATCTGATAATGGACAGAGTAGAGAAGATTGGAGCTTTATGCACACACCAGATATGCCAAAAAGCGAAAAATAGGGCAAAAAGTCGAAATTGATACAGAGACAGATAAGATGGATGGATTGCCACCAAATCAGAGGTATAGGGAACGTTTTTATAGAGTAATAGATGGCCCAAATATCACAAGAAGTGAAGCACAGGATGTGGAGATATGCAATAGGAGTCCAATAGGGGTGAAAGTGCCAAAAATGCAAACTTCACAGAGGATGATGGAGTGGATGGATTGTCCCCAAATTGACGGTGTAAAGTGCAATAGTATAGGGTAGTAGATGGCTCAGATAGGGCCAAGATCCGAGCACAGGATGTGGAGATATGGAATAGGGGGCCAAAAGGTGATCAAATGATGATGAAGGCTCACAGAAAGATCCAGCTCAAATCCAACCACTCTGACAGGTCTCCTAGGGTTATTTAGGCCGTAGAAGACGATGGTAGAAGTTACAGGACGATCAGATAAGGATTGGGCGAGATATGGTGCAGATAAGACCAAAAAAGCGTCCGAAATGGGGGTAACTTGCAACAAGGAGTTGTTGTTGGAGATCAAGATGAGATCAGAGTAATCTGAGGTGATGGATGAGATAATAAGAATCCCAGAAGACAATGGTTACGATGGATAAGCAGTAGGACACTTGGATGGTGAGATATGAGGTCAGGAAGATGGCTAGAGCACAGGGCTCATAACCTATTAAGAACAAAGCTTGAAGGAAGTGTCTAGCCACTTGCTGAGAGCAATCAGGGACTGGAACTAGAGTCCAATGTGAGTAACTTTATTATTAGAGAGTATGACAGGTATACAGTACCTAGAGTCCAATGTGAGTAACTAGAGAATAGGAAGTATTGGACTCTGCAATACTGTCCGAAGTTTTGTAAACAAAGGTAAACAAAGCAGCCACAAAGGCGAAATAATAGAGAACACAATCAATAGTGAATGATAGAAGAATAGATAGAGAAAGGAATGAAAATATATAGGTAGCACAAAGGTGCAGAATCACCAAAACTAACAATCTGATGCATAGGGGTTTGAGGAATAACTAGAACAATGGGCCAATCAATAATACCACAATTTAATAAAAACATGTCACCCAGCCAGCTCATCTTCAACGAGCAGACTCTCACCCAGCCGGGTTGTTTAAGATGGTTATCCTGTATTGTACATGTACTGACCCAGCCCGGTAGTCTAGGATGGGCAGCCTCTCACCCAGCTGGGTTGTTAAGGATGGGCACAATAATATCACGTCTAACATGGCCCAGCTGGTACACTCCGCCAGACTCTGCTGGCCCCATCTATCTAGTAATATCATCAGGTAATAATGCGCCGTCTAAGATGGAACATTATTACTATACTATGTTTCCAGGTAGTGTTGCCAGGTTTAGAAAGCTTCAAACATTGCAAGTAGTTCTTTGTCATGAGTGTCATAGTTGAGCTCTGGAGTGGTAAGGGTAGGGGAGTGGAAAGCCACAGGGTGGATTTCACCATCCGGAGCCAAGATGGAAAAGACAGCAACAATGGTGTAGTCTAAAGTGTTGGTTTCTGCAATCAATTGTGCATCCGGAACCCAGTGCAAGAGGACCAGAGCAATTGTGAAGGTGTTTTTCAACACTTATGAAAAACTTTTGATAGTCATCAGAGAAATTCCAAGGAATATCTTTCCAAGTAAGGCAGGTAAGTGGAACAACAATGCCGGAGTAGTTGTTAATGAAACAACGGTAGAAGTTGGCAAACCCTAGGAAGGACTGGATTAGTGTTGCCGCAGCTGGCTTAGCCAAGCTGCAGCTCAATAAGTCACAGTTTGTCAGCTTTGTGGCTTTAAGTAAGCTGCAACTTCTTTAAATTGAACTGTGGCTATTGATATTAAATGGTTTGGCGGCTTAGTGACTTAACAGTTTGAGATGCAGCTTCCACCTATAATAATCCATGGAAACAATAGACAGATAGAACTTATACAATAGACAACTCCCATATAATTTGCAACACCAATAGTAAGATAATTTCAGATTTATGCCAAAAGAATGGCTTCAGAAGTCTGTAGTAAAAAAGAAAACAAAAAAACATAACTTGTCGTGCTATAAATGAAAACAGAAAAAAGTGAAGTAACATCCTTATGCAATAGCATTTTGAATACCACACCTTCAAATACCTTTTCCCCCAACTTCTGAGTAATATTCTTCATCCAAACTGTTGATTGCTACACAGATGAACTTGGCAAATTGGTAGATGTGATGATGTTAATTCTTTCTGGTCCAATCATATGAATAGTTGTACAGGAAGCCATGATGTGCTGCAAGGTTGCGAAATAGATTACAGATATAAAAATAGTCAGGATCCTGATTATAGGCGAGTGAACGAGTATACAAGAGGAAGTCATGAAATTCTTTGGGAAGACCATGACATAGTGCAGCAGGCGTAGTGTGAAGCTTCTTCTTCTTAATAAGTCTGTACTTTTTCTCCTTGCTGCCCTTGATTCCCAGCCATGGAAGAGATCCATGGAGAAAATAAATTTTAATATAGACAATTGCTTCCAAGTCATCACATTGGGATTGCTGGATGCCCATGTGAGCATTGCATGATAAATAGCAAATAGTGCCAAGTGATTTCTGGCCATCTTTGTAGGGAATATGTTCACCAGTGATTGGGTGTATCTTTTCTGTGCTTAAGCCAAGATCAATCAAATGCAGGATGCCAGCGCTTCCATTGACACCAAGAAGAAAGTTTTCTGGCTTTAGATTACAGTGAACAAGATGATAGGAATGAAGAATCCATGAGATCTGAGTAGATATGAGCTACATTCTTGTAGTAATAAAAAATACTTGCCATTTGATCAATCAATATCAGCACTGTCTTAAGGCTAAATTTACGGCCACATAGATTAAAAACTTGTTCCAGTGAAGCTCCTAATAAATCTATGACCATTTCATTGTCATCTTCATGAGATCCATACCAATATAATTTGGGAAATCCTATGCAACCTCCAAGTTGTTCATATATCTGTGCCTCTCTCCAAAGATGGGTTGATAAGGTATCACCAGCTTCTAGCTTAATGGCAACATCCTCATGATTAAGCATATCAAAGCCACGCCAAACCTGTCCTTTATGATATTGGTATAAATAAAAACAAATCCATAACATATATGAATATTTACCAAAAGATCCTGTGGCAATATGCTCCTCCAAGCAGTATTGATGATTGATGATTATGGACAGATCAAGTTTGTCCTTAGAGGCAGTCATCCTGAGGAAGAAGGGAGCCTATATACACCAAGATATACACAGAAATAAGGCGGAACAAAAGTTGAGGAAGGATTAGTTGGACTCAGAGTTGGAGTTTGAAAGAACAAAAAGGCTTTTACTATATTTAGCTGGCTGGGAAAACATGGTATGCAAAATAGGACCTCAGTAGTGACAAAAGTATGAATTTTTGAATACCTAGACCTACAAGCTGGTAGCGCAAACTTTATCAGACTTTGAAACTGACAGAATATTGAGAAAAAATCAAAAGGAAAAAATAAGTCATAGTACATTTACAGTAAGCCACATATGGTAAATCATAAACACACCAATTCATATTTTCAGAATAGAACATACAAAAGCAGCTACATCTTCTGACTCAGGTAATAACATTTCCTCTGGATTATTCCAAAATGACATTAAGTTAGATCCATCACGGCACGCAGAGAACTTGAGGATTTGTAAAGCTTCTATAATGTCAGCACTGTGGCTATTTCTTCTTGGTGTGGCAGTCAAAGCAGCTGAAGAAAAAACCCGCTCACAAGGGACTGAGGTTCCTTGAATTGGGAGGTAGTCCAATGCCATAGAAAATAATGTGGGGAATCTGTGGGAATGCATCTGATAGATGGATGCAAGAAATTAGTATCAAACAGGTAAAGTATGAATTATTCTTACCTCCCACCACTGAATAATATTGTATTCTTCTCTAGGTAATTCCAGGTAGGCATTATGCTCCTCCTCAATTGATCTTAATTCAGGGGAAATATTAGGTAAGCCCATGTCTAATAATCCATACTCCTCAGTCAAAGAACGAATGATGTCCACAGCTTGATAGTTTGTAGATCCATATAGTTGAGGTGGTTGAAATTGCTGTGTTTGCGGCTGGCCAGGCTGTGTACTAGGAGTAGATATTGTACGGTGATACTTCTGTAACTAAAAAGATTTGTTTCAGTAGAGGTCAGCCTAAATAGGATGAAACTACCCAGGTGCTCAATAGCCTGTATATTTGTTTCAACATAAAATTCTATTACAAAATATTGTACTCACTGGTTGCAATTCTCTAAGCCTCCCTAACATCAAGTAGGTGGAGTCCCACCTTGTCTTTACATCCAATATTAGCTCCAAGGTTGGTAAGGTAACAACCTCATTTTTTCCACTTTTATCATGTTTGATGAAAGTCCTACTTTTATTCCCTGGCTTTATAATTTGCTGCAATCACTCTCAACAGTAAGATGACTTCCTGACAGCATGAACAGATTTTCTTCAAATTGTAAATGGATCCCATGCTGCTGCCTGCTCCCATATCTGTTGGCTGGTTTCAAAGGGAGGAATACCAGGATTCAAGTTATCCAGGTTTTCATTATTATCCACTTCTCCTAGCTTTGAGAAAGATTTGATAATAGCCTGAGGACAAAAATTAATGATATGTGCAAAGCAATGCATACATCCTTCAATAGGATCAAAATTCATAATTGAATACTTGTTGCTTAAAATATCAGCTAATTCTTCCATAGCACAATCATTTGATGTGGCATTGTCCATTGTGATAGCGCCAATCTAGAAATATAATATATTAGAAAAACAAAATAATAGATGAACAATTTTACCTTTGCTTTTACTCCCACATTTTGAAAAATGTCAACTAGTTCCTCTGCAACATGCTTGCCTGTGTAGTGCCCATTTTTTCTATGGAAACCCACTATTTCAGTACAGAGCTCCAAGCGGCCAGAACATTTTGAAAACCAGTGGGCAGTTACACCTAGAAGATGCTGCACCGTTCTGTTCTGCCATAAATCCGCAGTGAAGCTAACTTTCCCTGGTGATTCCTAAATTGTACAAAGTCATAAGATAGAATATAAATATGGAGTTAATAATGTTACCTGAAACTTCTTATGTAGTTGGATCATAAAGTCTTTCCATTCAGAAATAATAATATCCCGCATTTTTGAGTGATGAGGGATGTTAGCATCTGTGATAGTTTTTCCCCCCACAAGTAAAAGGAGTTCCCAAAATGATGGATGGTCAACAATTTTTATACCCTGTTAACATTTTGTGAGTCTCAAAAACAAGCCCTTGCTCATTCATAACAAGACCACCCCCAGAAAAATCACAATAGGTAAAACTAAGCATAAATCTTGATCCTTACTATCTCTATGAGCATTTGTGCAAATATTAATGTTAATGACAAGGGAGAGAAATGGGCTGACAGGAGATCCAGGCTTGCCTAGCAAAGTATCCACTATCTTGACTAGATTAGAGTATTCTTGAGGAAGACAATGCTCTATCTGTAAGAAAATGTATTCAAATCATATACATCCACAGAAAGGAAAGAAAAAAAAACCTTTGATTCAATCCACTCAAACACCTCACCAAAGGCTGCTTGAAGGTTAAAATAAAGCTGTTCATTCTGTTCAGTTTCACTGGATAGGTAAGGCAAAGATTGACTCTGGTTGGCGCCAACAAGTCTATCTGGATGCTCTGCTGGATCATCATGACCCTGTATACACTCTGTTAAGAAAGCACAAACCATATATAACATAGAACAACTTACTGATGTACCATACCTATTCCACCAAGAAAAATAGATGCATTGAAATTGCTGTGCACAATTTCCTCCATTTCTGAACAAGGGTAAGTCATCTATACATGCTTTTGGGTTGCCTGACAGGTTGGTCTTCATATCTTGAGGCATATCCTGGCATACAAAAGCCAATAAAGATCCATTGTCATTTTGAATGTTGATCTCATTAGGTATGGCAGACATTGGTATGCATAGATACGTAGATGCGGTCTTGCAGCCATTTGTGTAAAAATTTGATAGCTGTAATAAATCTGTTAATCAGTAGAGTACCTCTAAAAAAGATAAAAATACCTTAGTACAGAGATCTGCAAAGTTGAGGATTACTGGTGAGTGCTCAAAAATCATCCTCTGGGCATTGGTCCAGTCTATATTTTCTGATTGGATGCTCCTGGCAGGGAATCAAGTATTTGCTGTTGCATGCCGGTCATAGGAGGCCTTGACCTGGACGCAGTGCCCTTGGCGGACGCTGGAATCACCTTGGTCTTGGTGGGTGGCGAGTCCTTGTTGGAAGACATCTTCATGGTGGTGGGTTGCAATAGTGATAGAGATTGGGTCCTCCATACATGGCACAAGGGCTGCCCTCCAATAACCTTGTGATTGTTTTGGAAGCACAAACTTACTGTAACAACCAAGAGTTAGTTACTCTGGCGCACACAGGAGCACACTATAAAGGTGGTGATGAGGGAGTGGTTACCCTTTAAGCTGCAGAGAGTTTGTTGGTATATAACAGGAGGACTCGCTGAGGAGTCTCCTTGATCTATTGGGGTATTTATACTAATACAGAGTGTTTGTAGCTATGTAATGTACAGTTGATAAAAGCAGTGGCTGATGATGTCAGAAGGTGCAGCCTGTGTGATCAGCTCCACTGCGTGAGAGACTTTGTGTCTAAAAGAAGAATAAAGGCAGTGTTGCGCAAAAGAGTGGAGTTAGAATGAAAAAGGAAAGTGCCACATGGCACGGAGTGTGAACTATAGTAAAAGGTTAAGGCGGAGAATGAAAATTAAGGGAAAGGTCCAAAAATTGTGTTATTGTAACACTACCCCCTTTCTAAGGCTCAACTTCCAGGCAAGACCATATACCGGAGGTGGTAGTTAAATTTTCGGGCATAGTTTGAAAAAGGAAATTAAAAAGTTTTGAACCTATGCCTCTAAGCTTCCTAGGAGCTGAGGAATTCATAGAATAAAATTCGCGAACAGTGTTGCGGGAGTTATCTAGATGGGCTTCTGGCTCCCACGTTCTGTCCTCATCGCCACAGCCTTTCCATAGGACTAGGAACTCTAATTTACCACGCTTCAAGCGTGCATCATCCACCACCTGTTTGGCTTTGAACTCTTCTTCACCTTCCTGGGTGACTACAACCGGTCCGGGCCGGTCTACACACTGTCCTGGCAGCGGCCCTTTGTAGGGTTTCACACGGCTAATATTGACCGTGGGTACTACCCTCATTCATTTTGGGAGTTCCAACTCCACTGCATTGGGTTTGACTTCCTTAATCCGGTATGGGCCAATCCACTTTTTGGTCAGTTTTCTAGACTGCCGAGCCACCTGGCCCAATCTGTCTGCCTGTTATTAATAAATATCCAGAAATATTGTTTCAACTCCTGGTTGAGTCTCTCTGTTTGTCCATCAGTCTGCGGATGGAACACCGTTGATAATTTAGGTTTGATGCCCAGCATCCGGCATAATTCTTTTGTAAATTTGCTAGCAAATTGAGGTCCTCTATCGGAAATAACTGTTTCTGGTAATCCATGGATGGACCATACAAAGTCTTTAAATAAATCTGCCAGACCAGCGATGGTAATGGTTTTGTTGGTGGGAATGAATACTACTTCCTTGGAGAAGTGATCTACTACCACTATTACTGAATCATACCCATTTGACTCGGGCAGATCTGTTGTGAAATCAACCTATATATCCTGCCAGGGACCAGCTGGTATCAGATTTGGCATAAGTTTACCAGCCGGCAGTTGATGAGAGTTCTTTGCCATGGCACATCTCAGACAGGATTTTATGTATTCCTGTGCATCTTTAACCATGCCAGGCCACATATAGTTTCTGGAGATCAACTCCATTGTTTGTTGCCACCCAGGGTACCCAGCCACTGGAGTGTCGTGATGTCTGTCTATTGTCTTGATTCTTGCGGGCTCAGGCACATAGATTTTGTCTTTAAAATGGAAGAGCCCGTCTTCCCATAAATAGTTTTCATTGCCATCAAGGCACACCTTCTCTTCTGAGGAGATGTCTTTCTTGAAGACTTCCAGAAGATCAGAATCCTGCCCAATTCTAACATTGGCAACCCTTGATTGGTCAATCAGGGTAACACCTTTGTTGTCATCTTCTATGCCGTTGGCATGATCCTCTCTTCTGGACAAAGTGTCTGCTTTCCCCATTGAAGTTCCAGGCTTATGAATTAATTTATAATTAAACCTTGACAAGTATACCGTGTAGCGAGCCTGTCTCTGGTTCAGGTCTTGGGCCATCATAAAGTACTCCAGATTCTTATGATTGGTCCAAATTTCAAATTGGTGTCTAGCACCTTCTAAGTAGTGCCGCCAGTGCTCTAAGGCTCTAATGATGGCTACAAGGCCTCCAAAGATCATCAGGGCATTTAATTGATAGAACAGCCCCATTAGCAAAATCAGAAGAGTCAGTTTCTAGCCGGAACTCTTTGTCTAATTCTGGAAATGCTAATATGGGCGCTGTTGTAAATGGCTGTTTAAGCTTATCAAAAGCTTTTTGTTCTTTGGCGCCCCAATGCCAAGAAATATCCTTTTTAGTGAGATCGTTCAACGGTCTCGTGATTTTTGCGAAGTTTTTGATAAACCTTCGGTAGAAATTTCCTAAGCCAAGGAAGGCCCTAACTCCTTTGACACGAGTAAGCTCTGGCCAGTCCAATATGGCTTGAACTTTCTCAGGATCCATCCTGATTCCATTCTGGCCTATGATCATACCGAGGAAGTCTACTTCCTTCACTTTAAAATTACATTTTTCGGGTTTGACGAATAGGTCCCGTTCCTGTAACCATCAAAGGACTTCTTGCACGATCCTGTCATGCTTAGCCTCTTTGTCCAACTTCGTAAATATCAACAAATTGTCAATGTAAATGACAACACAGTCTTCCATATCCACAAAGATCTTGTTCATCATGCTCTGGAAGGTTGCCAGTGAGTTGGTCCACCCAAAGAACATAACAAGGGGCTCAAAGGATCCTCGGTGGCACGTGAACATGGCCTTCCAAGCATCTTCTTCTTTGATCTGTACATTATTGTACCCCCATCTGAGATCCATCTTTGTTAAGATTTTGGCGCCAGCCCATTTGTCTACTAGCTGACTGATCAAAGGCAGCGGATACGCATTTTTAACCGTGTGCTCATTCACGTAATAATAATCCATAATCACGCGCTTCTTACCATCCTTTTTAGGGATGAAGAACGCCGGGGACGTTATAGGGCTTTTGGAAAGTCTGATATAACCCTTCCTAAGCTGTTCATCTATGAAACTTGAGACATCATCTCTTTCTGGAGCAGAGAGGGGAATCATGTGTCCTTTTCTTGGTTTGAAAGTGTCCTTCAAATCTATTGCATGGTCCCAAGGCTTAGCCTCTGGGAAGCACTCTGACTTATGTTTAGAAAAGACTTTCCAGAAGTCATGGTACTCGGGAGGTACCAGCCTCTTAATCTCTTCCTCGGGTTTTATCTCATCATTGTCATTGTCAATCTTTTCTAAAGATCTAAGCTTGGCATAAATGTGACCAGCATGTATTCTTTTATCAAGCTCAGTTTGACGGACATAATTCGGCTTACCCAAGTCATTACACTCCTGAGGACAATGTGACAATGTGACAACCCCTATCTGCCAGTCAATCTCAGGATTGTGTTTAAATAGCCAGGTCCAGCCCAAGATTAAATTAATCTTCCCTAGTTGAGTAGCTTCAGTGGTGACTCATTCTCTGTGTTCTTGGTACTCAACAACAACAGAACATTTGTGCGTGATGCAGCCACCTGCGTTAAGTGTACTGTCAATGTTATAGATGGGAATAGACACATCTAACTTTACAAGGGGGAGTCCGATTTGCTCCGCCCAGACCTGATTTATGAAGATACTGTTAGCGCCTGAATCAAGCAGTGCGCTGGTTGGGTATACTATGCCCCGGGCAAGGTTTTCCACACCAAAGTCTAAACAGATCTATTTTTGGAATAAATATGTGTGCATCAAAACACATCTTGGGATTTCTGTGAGAAGTGGCCCCGAAGAAGAAGAAGAATTATCAAAATAAACATGTTTTTCTATTTTATTTCTACCAGAATCAAGCACCCTAGTGTCTGTCTTGCTGGGGCCACACTCCAAAGGAGACGCTGGTGCAGCGGTAGTATTATAAATATTGCAGTCACAATGCTTCATACAGGTACAGGTTTCAGATAACAAATTTAGAAATCGATTTACAAATTGGGGAGCCATCCCCTTCTTTCCATTATTGCTCGTGCAACACCCCGGAGCAGGGGCAGTTGGTGCGCCTGGCACCCTTGATTATTTTTTTGTTGGGCAGCCTGCGCCCCATTTCTGCAATCTCGGGACATGTGTCCCTCTTGGCCGCAATTGTAGCAGTTCCCTTTGAATCTGCACATCTGTCCGCCCTGGACCGCACCAATATCCATAGGGGCTCCCTGCCCTGGTTGCAGCCCAAACAGCTTAAACCCGTCAGAGTGATTATGGTGGTTTGATGACCCAGGGCACCTCTGGGATACATTGTTTTTGGTGGTGGACCCACCACCAAATTGCATATCGTAGAGCTCTATGGCCCTACCATTTTTTTGAACCTCCTCAGCAGCTGCTGCAAGGTTCTCGCTCCGCATATCTTGCATGTAGAGCTGTCGGGCAATGGCCGGTGATACATTGCGCTCCAACAACTCCACTGCATGTTCATTCCCTAGACCCCCTTGGATGGAGAGGGCCAGGAACCAGGTAACAAAGTCATCCGTCCTCATGTTTCCTTGTTTGAAGGTACGGATTTGCTGATGCGCCCAGTCACGCTCAGCTTGGGGTTTGAAGTATTTTTCGATCTCGACTTTGAGATCATCCCAGGTAGGCCACACTCCCGTTGTGTAGCACTCCTGCATTCTTACTTGGGCATATTGACCCGCCACAGGTTCTTTCAGTCTTGACAGCACAGCCATCGCTATTTCAAACTCATCAGCGAACGTGTCCCAGTTTACTTTGATCCACCATTTGGCAAATTGCGCCCTATCTCCTTCAAAAGCGCTGGGGTCAGCGACGATCTCGACTTTCTTGTTGAACTTTTGCGCAACCGTAGATTCCGCTGCTGGGGCGGCTTGAATCTCGGCGAGCTGATTCGTTAACGCCTGAATCTGTGCACACATGTTGTGCAGCAGACTGTTCATATCCGGTTGTGACGACATGTCGACTTGTTCTCTTTGGTAATGTAAAAAAAAGGTAACTGAGGGTCCCCGCTTGCTATCTGTGGATCAACCTCTTCCCAGCTGAGTATCGGGTCTCAATCTCCAACTACTCACACTATAGTATTTGAAAAAGTATATAAAAAGTATTCGTAATAAACCCTGGTCCGAATGGTTGTCAGGGGGTGGTCCGCTTGTTAAGCTGCCAACCCTTCTCCAGACTGGTGGAGGCAAGTGCCCGGCCTGGGCAGAGGTATTTGAAGAAGAAGTTTTGTATTTCTAAATTTAATCAACAATAGTGTGCACACTATTGTTGATCTATAGTACTCCCCTTCACGCTGGGGTCCGCATATTAAAGGTATTGTTTCTTCTCCCAAAGCACTACAAGGCCATTGCGAAGAGTGCACCTATCTGCTATGCGGGATATTCCCAAACAATAACCAAATCTCCTTCACCCTGGAGTCCGGGTGCCCAGTGGGACTTTTTGCACAACATGTGAGAAAGTAGAAGAGCAAGTCCTAATGTAACAACCAAGGGTTAGTTACTCTGGCGCACAAAAGAACACACTATAAAGGTAGTGAATGGGGAGTGGTTACCCCTTAGGCTGCAGAGAGTTTGTTGGTATACAACAGGAGGACTCACTGAGGAGTCTCCTTGATCTATCGGGGTATTTATACTAATACAGAGTGTTTGTAGCTATGTACTGTACAGTTGATAAAAGCAGTGGCTGATGATGTCAGAGGGCGCAGCCTGTGTGATCAGCTCCACTGCATGAGAGACTTTGTGTCTAAAAGAAGAATAAAGGCAGTGTCGCGCGAGAAAGTGGAGTTAGAACAAAAAAAGAAAGTGCCACATGGCACAAAGTGTGAATTATAGTAAAAGGTTAAGGTGGAGAATGAAAATTAAAAGAAAGGTCCGAAAATTGTGTTTTCGTAACAGTAGCAATGGAAAAGGTTATGCTCTCACGCGTACATTTTATCGCATGCATCAATCATTATTTCCGCAGCCATGTGTCAGTCAGAGCAGAGATGGCCAAGCTTTTCAGTGTGTTCATGTTGAGTGAAAAATTTAGTGGCAATGACAACATGCTTTATAGTCCTCCCCCCAAACATATTTTACACCAGGAGATGGTGGATATTGGGGAAAATATGAGGAACAGCATTGAGCCCGAGTCTGATAAGGTGGGAGTGTCTGTGGAGGTTATCAATGCTGGAAGAGAGAGATACCAACTGCAGCTCCAAGATGTGAAGAAACCATCTCTCTTGTCTTTGCCTGTCGGCCATCATGATCCCCCAGGTCCACTCTTGTCTGGGCCCCGCAAGCCTTCTGTTACGCACGAAGTGCTTAACAAAGTCTGAGGGTTCGTCGAGGTTTGTAAAGAGACTTATCCGAAGACAAGTTCGAGAACATAGTTCTGAGTGGAGGTTTTCCAACGGGAGTTGGTCTTCTTCTGAATAGAAGTCTGATCTTAGGAGTCTAGCTTTGTAAGCGTAAACTGCGTAGAATTGTATTAGAAAATACTACTGCTGTTACATGGTATTTATAATGGAAAGGAATCGGTGATAGGAGTTAGGTCCTATCTAGGGCAGGTCCATCTGTTGAGGACTAAGTACTATAATAGGTACTGTGAATGTGAGAGGAACGGAAGTGTACGTGAAGGAAATGAGTCATTGGTCTGATGGTATAACTGATGAGTAAAAAGAAATGAGTAGTCCTTAAATGTCCAATAGAGATTGTAACATTACCCCCTTACTTGCTCCGAGTTTCACTGAAATTCGGTACCTTCGCCGTCCATATTGTAACTGTTGTCGTAGCTGACATCTCCATGTAATCCTTCCATCAGAATCCTATCCTCGTCTTCCCTGCGGATGGGACACCAATTGAAACTATGTCCCAGTGCACGACGGTCACAGTTGGGGCAATAGTAGGCTTCGCAATAGTATGTGCAATGATTGCTCCAACCGCAGTTTTGGCAGTATGGAGCGTTGTTACGAACACCTTCATGGTATCTTCGTCGGGTGTTGGATGAGGTGTCGGATTGGGGAGTGGTTGGATCGTCATCTCCCAGGTCGTACGTTCCTGCATACAACTGATCAATCATGGCTGCGTCGTCATCTACGTTGATTGGGTTAGAGGGAGAGCCTGTCTCAGGCCTGTGCATTGCGCCAGGCGGACTGTCTTTCTGTCCCTTCGACATACGAGACTGCCGTTTTGATGGAGTTCTGGCGGCGGGGATCCGGAGTATCACCTCTTTCCGGCCGCGTCGGGCTCCTTGTCGGTTTGTCAGGCGACGGGTTTGGGCGTTTGGCACTGGTCGAGGTGGAGATGATGGGGGAGACGGTGGTTTTGGGTTCGACCCAATGGAACGGGGACTGGATTGGCTCAACTCTTGTGAGATCGGGCTGGTTGGGACGGTGGGAATATATTTTTCCTCCGATGGGATGGGCGTAGGTCAACGGGTGATGATGTGGTAAGTGTGCTCCGGGGTAACACTGGTCTGGTCTGGGTGCGACAGGGACCGGAGGGACAAACCGGGTGGAGGAGTACTCGTACAACCGTCTCGCTCTATCCGCGTGCGAGCTTTGTTTAGCAATGTCCTCCTGCCTGATTCCAAATATTCCTTTGCTGAGTCCATCTGCCCATTCGAGGAGCTCATCCTCAAGTGTTGTTCCAAAGATTCCAAAACTAACTTTTCCATCCAGAGTGCCCGACAGATACTCAAGTCCTGACTGTTGAGCCGCGAATGCTCGCTTTCCAATGAATGTATTGAGTCTATGGCTTTCAGGAGTTCATCAGCTATGAGGTCTATGGCAAGGAAGGTATGCATGGAAGAAAGAGTGTAATACGCATGGGGGCAGCGTTTTTCGGTCTCATAAAAGAGATAGGTATAGGCGTCTTTTGCTGACATTAATTCTATGGCGTCAGTGACGTCGGCTTGGTTGTGTCGTTGCCCACGGGCAAAAGACACTTGTTCGTCGGCTAGCAAGTTGGCGTCGCCGGGTATTGAGTAGGTGGTGATAGGGAAGCCGGTGGAGTTAGAAGTGGACATGTTTTGTGTTGAGAGACAGAGGGTTGTTGGTAGTGGGGTGATTGTCTCTTCAACGCAGCTTGTGGTCCTTCTTATAGGCTTCCAGTATCTCCGCAGCATTGGTTAAGTGTTCTTCCGGTTCCCATGAGTTTTCGGAATGAGGGTAATGGCGCCATTTAATCAGGTAGCGGCGCCCGCGTTTCCAGGGTTTGTGTCTAAGAATACTTTCTACTTCGTATTCCTCTTCTTCATTGACCAGGTCAGGTGGTGGTCGGATAAAGTTCGGGCCGTGGGTGTTGGTTTCCGTATACGGCGTGAGAAGGGATGCGTGGAAAACATTGTGTATCCTCCAATGGGGAGGCAGGGATAGTCGGTAGTTCACCGGGGAAATCTTTTTTTGGATGCGGAAAGGTCCGATGCGTTTCATATTGAACTTCTTGTATTCGGTGGCTTTTTCTTGCAGGTTGGTGTTCTCTAACCACACCTTTTGTCCTTCGGAGAATCGCGTGAACTTTCCGTTGTTTTGTTTCATCATCTTGCTTCTCACGAGTTCGTGTGCTTTTAGGGCGTTTTCCCTTGCCCTAAGCAGTTCGGATAATCGTTTTTCCACTGATGGGATATTTGTGGATCCGTGTTTAGTCGGGATTCCTCGGGCTTCATATCCCATGAGGAGGTAGAATGGTGATTGGTTGTTTGTGGAGTGTGGTCTTTGGCTGTGACAGAATTCGGCAGTAGTAAGGTATTTTGCCCAGCTGTGTGGTTGGTTCTGGCAAAATATGCAGAGGTAGATCTCCAGTTCTTGATTGGATCGTTCTGTTTGTCCATCCGTCTGGGGATGATATGCAGAGGAGAGTGCGGTTTCAATGTTCAGGAGTTTGTGGAGTTCTTTGGATACTTCAGAGGCAAACTGTGGTCCCCTGTTGGATATGAGTTTATCATGCAATCCGAATTGTTTGAAGATGGAATCGTGAAAGATTTGTGTGGTTTCAAGTGCGTTGATGGTTTTATGACAAGGTGAGAGGATTACCCCCTTACTAAGTCCTTGATCTACCACGACCATTATACTGTCGTATCCTGAAGATTCTGGTAAATCAGTTATGAAGTCTACGGATAGGTACTTCATTGGTTCTGCGGTTTTTGGGGTCTGGTTTGGGATTAATGGTACGGTGGTGGGATGCATGTTTACTTTTGCTTGTTGACAAGTTGCGCATCCTTTCACGTATTCTTCCACTTGTTTCATCATGCCTGGCCACCAATAGGCCTTTTTGATCAACTGGTAGGTTTTGAGCCTTCCTGGGTGTCCTGCGGATAGGGAATCGTGGTGATCTTTGATGATTGTCTTTTGTTCTTCTACTTCGTCAATCAGTAATTTATTCTGATAAAAGAACTGTCCTTCTTCTTTTCTCCAATCGTCTTTCTTCGTTCTTCCTGGATAATTATCGTTTGTGAGCATGGCTTGCTCAATTGTGTTTTTAATTGTTCGTGTGTGATACAGGAACACTGAGGCGGGTATCATTGGTGTGTCATCGTCGTCTCCTTCTGTTTCGATGTATAAATCAGGTCTTCTTGAGAGTGCGTCAGGTACCACCATGTGGGTTCCTTGTACGTGCTCCAAGGTGTAATTGTATTGTGACAGTTCCAGCTGCCATCTTCTTTGTCGCGGTGTCAGTTTCCTGGCTTCTTGCCAGTACGTCAGGTTCTTGTGATCTGTCAGGATTTGGATTGTGTGGGGGCTTCCCAAAAGTAAGTGTTTCCACTCTTTTAAAGCTCTCATTACCGCTAATAACTCTTTGTCGTAGATCTGGTAGTTCTTTTCAGCGGGGGATAGTGTTTTGGAGAAAAATGCACATGGGTGCCATTGTCCTTGGTCATCGGGTTGCATTAATACAGCTCCTGTGGTGTGTTTGCTGGTGTCTGCAGCAATCCTTGACGGTTTCGAGGAGTCGGGAATTTGTGTTACGGGGGATTTGAGGAATTTTTGTTTCATCAATTTGAAAGTGTCGTCTTCAGTTTGGGTCCAGTTCCACTTCCTATCCTTTTCTAGTAAGGCATTCAAGGGTCTGGCAAGGTCAGAGTAATGACCGATAAACTTCCTGTAGAAGTTTCCATAATATAAGAACTTCCTTACACTTTTGGTGTCTTTTGGGATTGGCCAATCGCGGATCCCAGCGAGTTTGGCTGGATCCATCGATACCTGATTGTGGGAAACAATCATTCCTAAGTATTCAATGGTTTCCACTTTGAAGGTGCATTTTTCTAGTTTTAGGAATAGGTCGTTATCGCGTAGTCTTTTTAGAACCTGTCTTGTTCGGATTCGGAGTCTTTTGATGTTGGTGTCAAAGATGAGGATGTCATCCATGTATATGATCATCCAACCTTCATCGATGTAGTCTTTGAATTTGTTGTTCATCAGCCTTTGGAATGTTGCCGGTGAATTGCACATGCCAAAGAACATGACCGTTGGTTCGAACACTCCCTTGCTGGTTTTAAACGCAGCTTTCCATTTGTCTCCTTCTTTTATCCTTACGTTGTTGTATCCCCAACGTAGATCTAGTTCCGTAAAGATGGTGGCTCCTTTCAATTTTTCGATGAGGTCGGGTATCAGGGGTAGTGGATAGGGGTCTTTCACGGTATATGCATTCAGTTTTCTGTAATCTTGGCACGGTCGGAGTGATCCATCCTTCTTGCCGATGAAGAAGAAAGGGGACACCTGTGGCGACTTGCTTGGCCTGATGTATCCCTTTCTGTAGTTTTCCGTTAAGAACTCTGTTAATGCTTCGTTTTCTTTTGGTGCCAATGGGTATAACTTGCAATCTGTTGGTACAAATTCTGGTTTCATGTTGATTGCATGATCATATTCCCGTCGCTTGGGGAGTCTTTCCGACTTCTTTTTGTCAAAGACGTCCGAATACCCTTCATATTCATTTGGGAGGTTATGCTCCTTCTTTTCTCCGTGTATTTGCGCATGTTCCATTGCCGAGTTGACCTTTAATCGAATTGTGGTTTGAGGATAGGGCGTTTGGTCAGATACGTATCTATGAATGGTTTCATACACGTCTTCGTTTACTGCGGTTGTCCTGATTTTTGTTTCCGTGGTTGTTTGGTTCATCCTGATGGAGTGTTTGTCCAAGTTTGGTAATTCCTTGTCTTTCCAGTTAATAACGGGATTGACTTTTCGTAACCAGGGAAACCCCAGTAATACGTCTTCTCCGTCTAGTCCAGTCAATAGGAACTTTGTGAACCTGTTTTGTCCTCCTGCATCTATCCTCTGATAGGTGCAATGCATAATTTTTCCGTTTTTGTTCGTGGTTCCATCAACATTTTTACATGTTATAGGAGTTGGGAGTTTTTGGAGGGGGAGTCGGTGTCTGGTGGCGAATTTGGTGTCCATGAAGTCGTCTGTAGCTCCTGAATCTATCAGGGCTTTGGTTTCGATGGTTTTCTGTTTCAACGAGCAATCAATTTGTAAAGAGTTGGCATTGATTGTTGCTATTGTTACAGTTGCCATTTTTGACGGTACTAACATCGGGGTAGTCCGTCGTTTTAAAAACCCTCGTCTTCTAATTCTTTCATCGCCTCTGTTCTTTGATCTTCTCCTAACTCCCTCCACATCCTCATGATGTTTTGGACCCTGTCTTCTTCTACCATTGTTTTGGTGTCATCTTCCGTTTCAGTTTGACGTACCTTTCTTTCGGGAGTTTTTCCTTTGTTCCTACAATTCCTTCCTATGTGTCCTTTCTTGTTACATATGAAGCATCTTCCCTCTTTCCTCCTTGATTCTTCTTTGTCTTTGGTTAATCTTCTGATGCTAGTGGATGGTCCATTTTTGCGATTTCTGTTGTTCTGTCTTTCTTTGTTTCTGGCGCCCCATGCTCCTTCCGAGACAGCGTTGGCACTGATCCAGTTAGCGTCTAGGTTCGCTACTGTGCTCATCCAGTCTTCGATGGTGAGTAGTTCCTTTCCGGTGAGTGCCCCACAAAGGAGGGGTGGCCGGATAGCCTTTTGATAAACCATGATCATGGCTTCATTGTTGATGCCACTTTTCCCAGCATCTAGCATGAACCTTGAGTTAAACGCTACTGCATTTTCTCCTTGTTCCATCTTCATTTTCATCAAGGTGGCCGAGGCCGTTCCTTTGACGTTTGCCGTTCTGAAACTGGCTGTGAAGGTTTTCATGAAGTCTGCCCATGTGGGGTAGGCATTCTTCTCTTTGTATTTGGTCATCTTGGCTTCGCTCCATGAGGCGGCGTTGCCGTCCTTCATGTAGCTGAGGGCCACATATACCTTTTTCTTGTCGGAGTTGTAGATGGTGTCGTTGATATCAAAGTGTAGATCGGTGGACAATATCCACCTTTGGGCTTTATCTGGGGTTCCATCGAAGTCATCAATTTTCCCAATCATTGTGGGTTTGGGGGGTGCAGCGTTAGATATGGTGTGTGGTGGTGGGATGTGGGATGGAGCAGGTGCGGCGGGGAGTATTTGTGGAGTGGGAGGTGGTATCGGGTCGCCGCCTGTTGCAAACTCTTCAAAGTCATTCTCGTCGTAGAGGTTTTCTACGGTTACTGGGGGATCATGTTGTGTTGTGGGCAGTAGCTGTGGGTGGCTTCCTGCGTAGTACTGTAGCCAACATGTTCTGGCTTCATAGAAAGCGTCTGCTTGTTCTCTGGTGTGGAGTCGGGTTACGTCTGGTTGGGGAAAGGGAGATGGTGCTGCTATCCTTTCTTGTCGGGATGACGTCGGTGGGGTTGCTGTTTGTGGGTTGTCTGAGCTTCCTCTTGCTCTCTGGGATCTGGTTGTTGGTCGTTGCAACGTCTTGTCGACTTTTTCTTCCCAAACCTAAATAGGTGGGACTTCTGGTTAGAATACAATTCTTTTGTTACGCACAAAGTGCTTAACAAAGTCTGAGGGTTTGTTGAGGTTTGTAAAGAGACTTATCCGAAGACAAGTTTGAGAACATAGTTCTGAGTGGAGGTTTTCCAACGGGAGTTGGTCTTCTTCTGAATAGAAGTCTGATCTTAGGAGTCTAGCTTTGTAAGCGTAAACTGCGTAGAATCGTATTAGAGAATACTACTGCTGTTACATGGTATTTATAATGGAAAGGAATAGGTGATAGGAGTTAGGTCCTATCTAGGGCAGGTCCATTTGTTGAGGACTAAGTACTATAATAGGTACTGTGAATGCGAGAGGAACGGAAGTGTACGTGAAGGAAATGAGTCATCGGTCTGATGGTATAACCGATGAGTAAAAAGAAATGAGTAGTCCTTAAATATCCAATAGAGATTGTAACACCTTCAAGTGGAAGTAAACACACTTCAGATGGAAATAAAGGGGAGGAGCCTGTCAGCAAGCACCTGAGATCAACACGCACCCATAGCAGTCGGAAAAAGTAAAAGGAGGTACTTTTTTTGTCTTTTATTTTACAATTATGAGCAAATCCTGAACTGTGCCTATAGAATGTATTGCTATCAGTCACAGTGTAGTCTGTAGCTTAACATGTAATCTTTAGGTTCAATGATATGTATTCAGATTGTTGTATTTTTGCCTCACTGACCTTTGCCGTCATTGTGCTTGTCACGTAAATGCCCATCCATCTGATCCAGTAGGTGCCTCCCTCTCTATGTCTACGGAGGAGGATCCTACAATCTGTTCTGTTTGTCACAAGAAGCTTAAAACTCCCTAGGGCCTGATATCCTATCTGTTGTCAGCAAGAAGCTGCAAGTGGTATAACAAAGGGAAGCTATAAAGTTTGACAATTCCAGGAGAACTTTATAAGGGCAATGATATGGAGATAAGGGAAGTACCTGATATGTTAGCTGATGAACTTAGACTTATGGATGAAGACCCAGAAGATGTGGTGGATGACTACTATGATTGTCTCTATGACCTTATTCCCACAGAATCTGAGAAGAATATGGCTGGACCCTCAAAGCTTCCTGATGAAAATGATGAGGAGTGTATTGAGGTACCACACCCTCCTGCAGGCAAGGTGATTAGGATGGATAAAACAGTATATGAAAGATGGAGGAGAGAATTTGGAGCTGAGGATATGGATGGGGATATGGATATGGATTCAGATATGTCAGATGGATCAGGGAACATTTTTGCACCCTTTGCGTCAGAGCTAGACTGGAGGGTTGCTTGCTGGGCTATACAGGATGGAATAGGCCATATATCATTTGATACATTAATGACAATACCAGGGGTACGTCACCTCTTCTCTCTTTCAAGCACATATACTGATTTATCTATTTCAACCAAGGTGACGGATAAATTAGGTCTATCCTACCATAACATATATGGGCTCCATAAGCTGGTTGATTGTGTTCCAGAATATGCTACTTGGAAAACTAGAGAATTGTGGTTCAGGAATAGTCCTCAGCATAAGCATATGGTTTATCATCGTGATTTTATTGAAGCTATCAAGTCCTTGCTAGGAAATCCAGCTCATGCCAAGGTCATTGTCTACAGGCCCAAGCGCATCTTCACCAATGCTTCAAAATCTCACAGGATTTACAATGAGATGTGGGCCAGAGATTGGTGGAACACAGCACAGGCAGGTGGCATGAATCTAAATGTGTCACCGCTGCACATGATTGTGGGAATGAAGCCCCATCTTGGACACTTATCACATGATCATTTAGAAGTTTCTAGAAAAATGACATCATCAGCTGAGTAATATTCAAACTCAGCTTATCTATGATGCAGAATACTATAGTGAATCACCCTCATCTAACACAAGCAAAACTGGAGAACCTTTGCTGATGAATAATGATGTTACCTTTTGCATCTTGTGCTTAATCAATCAAACAAATCGACAACAATCCTAATTAAATTGTTGTTTAATGGCCTGAAGAGACTAACATTGAAATAGAAGAGTTCAACATCCGCTTGGACCCCCATCACCATTCAACCTAGTCTCCCACCAACACTACTTGCCCCTGCCTGCCCCCCTCCGAGCCAGGGTCTTGTAATAAGCGGGAGACTTGGGATGGGTTGAGCATGCCTGGCTTGGAACCGCTAAGAGTTTGCAGACCTACATTGTGGGGTTCTGCAGGCATAATAATCGCAATTATAATGTAAAACACCACAGATGACTTATATTTGATAGCCAGCACTTTTTGAAAAGCTAAGGAGGGGGTTGATAGCAAGTGTCATGTTAAAACACCACAAATGCTGAAACCACAGATAGTTTATTGTACTAGTAACTACAATAATGCAAGCCAATTCTTCCAAAAAACAATAATGCTTGTGCAATTGCAAAGAACACTGCAAAGGAGCTAGACTTGTCCCTGAATGAACATGATATTGACATGCACCTTATTGCAGAAACCCCAACATTCCCATTGATCTGCAAGATGAAGAACATCAGCTAAGACAAAATATACCAGAACAACTCTCAAGTTCCTTGAACAGCTCCAAAATCCAACCCAAGAACAACTCAATATTGATGACCCCCATGTACGAGCATCAATCAACTTATTTCTTTCTATCATCAACTTGTCAGAAAATGTCTACAACAAATTTTGAGATGTCTATCATTGACTACACCCAGAATATGCTGAAAAAATCCTCTCCTTTTATCAGGTCAAAAGGCTAGTAGCTGAGCTCAGCGGCATACAATCCCTTGTACATGATATGTGCATCTTGCCATGCCCCACATTTACAGGTCCTTTTTCTCAGCTTGACTCATGTCCTCTATGCAACAAACCCCACTATAACCAGTTTCATCTAGCACAAAGTAATGGTCAAAAGAAAATTCCATGACAAACCTTTCACATAATCCCCATTGGCCCGCAGTTACAGGTGTTACGGCAAGACCCTAAAGGAGCTAAAAACATGATGTATTGTCATAGGGAAACCACCAGGATTTTTGAAGAGCTCAAGACAACACAATCAGTACAAACATTCAACAATATATAATCTGGCAAATTCTACCTTGACAAAGTCAAAAATGACCATATTAAACCAAAGGACCCTGTCCTCATGCTATCAATTGATGGCACTCAATTGTATCTACAAGGCTTTGGATTGCTTAATGTACATCTGGGTGACATTCAATCTCTCACCAGACAAACGATACAAGAGAAAACACATCTTTCCAGGCGGGTTTATCCCTGGTCCTAACAAGCCCAAGAATCTCAGGTTATTCCTGTACCCGGGCTAACATCATGCCTCGGAAATTCAAAAGGAGGGTTTCCAAGCATGGGACGCACATAAAAAATTGCTATTCACCAACAATCCATACATTTTTGTGAGCTCAGCAGATGGTCCTGCCATGATCTACATTATGAGTCTTGTAGGCTATCATGGCAAATACGGCTGCTGCATCTTTTGTGGCCTTGTAGGATGACATAAATCAAATATGTCTCACTACTATCCAGCTCTTTTGAAGCCAAACAACTATGACAATGAGAGTTGCTCTCATAAAAACATTATCATTTGTGCACTCCCCACTGCATCTTCAAAATGATACCACAAAAATCTAAGTAAGGTTGTTCAGTCTCCAAACAAAAGTCAATACAAGAACTATTAAGAACAAAGCTTGAAGGAAGTGTCTAGCCACTTGCTGAGAGCAATCAGGGACTGGAACTAGAGTCCAATGTGAGTAACTTTATTATTAGAGAGTATGACAGGTATACAGTACCTAGAGTCCAATGTGAGTAACTAGAGAATAGGAAGTATTGGACTCTGCAGTACTGTCCGAAGTTTTGTAAACAAAGGTAAACAAAGCAGCCACAAAGGCGAAATAATAGAGAACACAATCAATAGTGAATGATAGAAGAATAGATAGAGAAAGGAATGAAAATATATAGGTAGCACAAAGGTGCAGAATCACCAAAACTAACAAGAACAACTGTTTGGAAACCTGTATCTCAAAACCCAGTATACTATTGGGCTTACAACCATCCCACATTCTCCCCATCCTATTCTGTTTTGGCTCTGACATTATGCATCTCATCTCGATCAACATCCTGGACCTACTTATTCCACTCTGGCGTGGGACATTTGAGTGCAATAAAGACAATGACAAATTGAACTGGGACTGGGCCATTCTAACAGGAGATATCTGAAATGTCAGTCCAACGTGGTCAAGCTGTCGCAAATGCAACTATGCACCTTCCTGGATCTTTCAACAGGTCTCCTCAAAATCCTGCAGAGAAGATAAACACAGGCTACAAAGCCTGGGAGTATCTTCTCTACGTCTTTGGTCTAGGCCCTGCACTCTTTTATGGAGTCTTTGCAGACAAATACTGGAAGAATTATTGCAAGCTTGTTCGTGCAGCCCGCATAATTTGTTACAATTAACATACCAGCAACTACTTACGCTTCACTTTTTTGTACTTTTACTTTTCATTTTCCATGTCACATGACCAGTCATGTGACACATCACCTGACCGGTGTCTAGGCTCACCATGTGACTGGTCACATGCTAAACATTGGACTTTAAACTTTATTTACAACTGTACAGTACCTGATGTATTTTAGTATATATACAGGAGCAATACATGGGGAAGGACTCAGCGAGTCCTCCTGTTGTCTAGCACAACAAACTTGTTGAAACCTGAGGGGTGATCCCTCCTTTCTCTCTTCTTCTCTTGCTTGTCTGAGTTGTGCGCCAGAGTAAGAAACACTTGGTCATTACAGTCTTGTCCTTTTTTACTTTGACAACGAGAGTCTAATATAGTTGAAAAAAATGAGTAAAAAACAAGTAAATTGAAACATACCAACTCTCCTGGCTCTGTAGGACTAAATTTGAGTGAATATGTGTCCCAGTCTGATGAAATACCAGTAACATTGAGAACCAGAATATTCTTGCGCAACAAAAAGTGATCAGTGTCTATAGAGATTGCTTGTGATAAGATAAAATGATAGAGTTGGTGTTGGCAATCAGAGGCTCAGAGTTCAAACTTACTGGCAGAGAATGGATATAAGAAGTAATATTTTTTTTGAGTTACCTATCACTATACCATATTTTATCATGAGACTGACAATCCCGGAAAACCAGAATAATAGTGATATGACAAGTTTGGCTATGATAGAAAGTTCATTGAAGTCAGCTATGGTCAGTTTGAGTGAAATTAAATACCATATACTCATTTTTTCATTGGTAAACAATGCAGCAACTGTTGACAATGTGTTCATTATCACCAGAGCTATCACCAAATATAGATAGGTCCTATAATGGGATTAGTTACAATGCTGTAATGAGTCAAATCAAAGAGCTCAAGATGATGATCTTAGAGTATTTTACCACAAATATTTATGTTTTTGATTTTACTGATAGTGGCTGTATTGATTGGTTCATTTATAAGAAAACATCTTCACCTGTGACTCCCATGTAACACCTCTAATTAGAAGTGATATCACCTGCGTGACACATTTCTAATTAGAGGTGTTAGGGCGCTTTGCGGGCCTCTTTTATTATCTCCGGAATACCGCATGGATTGGGAGGGACTTGGTGCAACAACTACAGCTGCTAAATTAGGGTTTGCAACTGTACAGTTTGATGTCATCCTGTCCTGCGGTTCTTCCTCCCGCCGATAATTAAAGTTCAACCGCTGCCTAGTACACGGTAAGTTCCGGTTCAAGTTCTGCTCCGCAGCATCTAACAACAGGCGTCTGTTACGATACACAATTTTCGGACCTTTAATTTTCATTCTCCTCTTTAACTTTATACTGTAGTTTTCACACCCTGTGCCATGTGGCACTTTCCTTTGTGTTCAAACTTCTCTTTCTTGCGCTGCGCTGCCTTTATTCTTACTTTAGGTACAAGTCTCTCACGCAGTGGAGCTGGTCACATGGGCTGCGTCCTCTGACATCATCAGCCACTGCTTTATTAACTGTATAGTACAGCATGTAAAAACAACCTGTAGTAGTATATATACCTCAATAGATCCGGGAGACTCCTCAGCAAGTCCTCCTGTTGTATACCAACAAACTCTCTGCAGCTCAAGGGGTAACCACTCCCTCATCATCTTCCTTATAGTGTGTTCTGTGTGCGCCAGAGTAACTAACTCTTGGTTGTTACATTTGAGCTCCCAGCTCTCACAGAGCATGTCGCAGAGCTTTACCTTTTAGGCTGGAGTGAGATCCTGGCTATTGCTTGCTAGACTCTGTAGTGTTGTCAGTCTTTTCTTCTCGCCCACAGGTAGGTCTACAGATCTCATCAGCAATTTGGTAGTCAATATACAAGTAAAATAGACTAACCTTGATTTATTTCCATGGCCTTTGCATGCACGATTGCGTTGTATACATTTGGTGCATAAGTTTTCTTGTAATTTGTTCCAAAGGTGACAAGTTGCTTTATCCGGTCAAGTGAGAGGTCATTCTTTGACGCCAGCACACTCTGCTTGGCATCCTGTTTGCGTAGAAATGCCTTGATGCTTTCATTTACATCAGGAAAAATAGGGGTAGCTATATAGAGCTCTATAGCACTATAAGTACTCATAAAGCTGTTATAGTAGTCAAACCTGTTATAGAACCTCTGCCATCTATAGAGCCTCATATAGCTCTATAAATGCTCTTATAGATGTTGGAAATTGTTGTGTGGCTGATAAAAATTTTTTAACACAGACAGGATTGATTTGAACTCTCAACCTGCTAGTCAGCTTTTGGGTGACTAAGCAACCTATCACCACACATCACATTTATCCACTACACCATGAGAGCTTATAAAATATATCATACAGGTGTTATATATTGACCTTTCATGGATTTAGATTATTTTTTTACTCATTGTCACTACTTATATTTGGATAAATTATTATTCTTATTTTATAAATATCAAAGATACAAACTACTATTTCACCAATACAGGCTACATAATTAATTAATACTGTATGATTTATTAGCCCTTTTAAGCACCTTGAACTATATTATAACTATGACCTTCACAGCTATAGGAGCTATGTAGGCTGCTATAGGCTATAAGAGCACTTATAGTACCTTGCCTATAATAATATACTTGACTCCAAACACTTTTGGCCTCTTTTTATTATTGAACAAGTTTATTAGATGAATCCATAGTTTGAGCAAATTATAGATACTTCTCCCCTTGGTTAAGATTTTGCCTACTACTATGCTATAAGAGCTATAAGAGCTATGATTGCACTGATAGTACTATAGTTTCTATGAATGCATTTATATATATAGGTGGTGGCTATATAGCGCTATATAGCAGAAGGGTTTTTCCTGATGAATAAGACTATGGGGTCTGGTTTGTCTGATTCAGGTTGTTATTGAGATTTGTTTTGGAGTTATCTGTTTGATACTAGCCATCTCTTGTCTATGCCTACTACTTTGATGTTATTCTATGGCCATCCCTTTTTATTGTTAATTCACCTCTATTACAAGTAGCTGTTATTGTGTTTCACACGCTTCATCTATCTCCTTTATGCTTTACTTCACATATATGTGATGTTTATTCTGAGAGCTTAGTGTGCTTCTCAATGGTAGTACTGCTAGAATGTCCCATGGTCCAAGATATATTTCCCATGGTCCAACTTGAAAAATCCTGTGGCACCACTAGGATGTCCCATTGGTCTAACTTAGGTGTCCCAATAGTACTAATTATATATCCCATGGTCCAGTTCTGACATCCTGATATCCCTGTGGTACTACTACTGGAATGTCCCATGGTACCACTAGAATATCCCATGGTCCAACTTAGTTGTCCTGTGATCTAACTTGAATGTCCCATGCTACTACTGGTGGGTGTTCTATTGTACTAACTGGTTATCCCCATAAGTCCAGTTCTGATTCCCTGTGGGCAATAAACAGATACCCCAGGATATCTTATGGGCACAACCTAAACATTCCTTTCTCATGGCAGCTTTTAAGTTTGAGTTCATCACACCATTGCATCACTCACTAATCAAGCTCCTCGCAAGATAATTAGATTACAAGCAATCACTACAAGGATTACATTCAAATAACATTCAATGACCAGACATCAAACATTATGACAGTTGAACTCATAGGACCCCATATTACAGATTAAAATTTTCCTCACATATATCACTGTGACTGTCACAAAAATCAGGCTAACTTCATTATTTGGGTAATGCAAGTATTTTATTTGAAAGGCATTTGCTTTGAAGCTTTGTTGCTCTAACTTTGTGCAAAAGTTACAAAAAATCAGAATTTGTTTGTCTGCACTGTAACAATGCAACAAACTCAAGGTTATATTAGTACAGTATTTTCAGTAGATTGAATTACACAAGTAAAACTTCATGTCTACTGCAGTATAACTTTTAGATATATTCTTGAATTTAATTTGTTTTTCTGATGTAACCAAGTTATCATTAGCTTCACAGATTCATGAGTGATTGTAACATGCTGCTGCTAGCTCATAATGTAAGGAAAGACATCAACACCTGCAATTACAATTATTAGGATGTGGGGAGTCTGATAATTTGTGTAATGCCACCTTATATAACTTTGATTACATTATCATACCACATAAAGGCTTTCCTCTTATATTCACACAAATGGCAAGCTTATCATCCCATATGCTTTGCAATCTATAAGGTGTACTATATGTGTTGCATTACTACCACTGCTCAAACTAAGTTATCTATTTCTTTATTCCATTAACGCCTCATAAGTAACTTTTAAATGCCATGGAAGAAATTGTCATGTGGACCCCAGACACCTTTATGATTGCTGGGATATCCCATTAGGCTTCTGGGACGTCCCATAAGTTGGCCAAAAGGACGTGGTAGACAATGCTCCAGGGAGCTACTAGCCACATTGGTTTGGAGATTATGATCAAGCTAAGAGCCCCAGAAATTTGGCTGCCTGAAGTTGCGCTGGTTGATGGAAAAATATGAAGAATAATGTGACGAAAAAGATGTGGGGTGTTTTCAACGAGACAGGGATGTTCCTGGCTCTGTAGGCACAGATTCTATTTGCTCATTGCTGACATGGTACAGAGTGGTGAACTGTAAGTCTCTTCTTATATCATTTTTTGATGTTTAGATTGTATTCACAGTGCTAAATATCCTTTGGCTGTAGTAGAGAAGTTACTTAATACATTTGGTGACGGCCTTGCTGGGGGGTTCAATATCAACTGCAAGTTCAAGACTACGCTTTGCAAAAGTTCTCTTCGAGAAAAAGCCTGCCGTCTGGATCACACATGCTTGGTTAGTGCCTTCCACGGCCATGCCCACAGACGCCTCTGCCAGCTCGACCATCTCGCTACCTACATCAAAAAACTCGGTCTTGAAGACTTAGAAGGTTGCAAGTGCGCATTTTCAAAGTCAAACACACTAGCATCTCCAACGAGGTAAAGCAGTGCCTTTCACAGGAAACAAGCCATCATCACATACTTTGAACACAACAATACATTTGAAGTCTACCAAAATCTCAGTAAGTGTCCCCCCTTTTTGCGTATATTACATTTACACCTATGCACAGCTAGGCAATTTTCTGTATGATAACTACAAACAAGCACTTAATATTCTGGCTACAGGACCCGCTAATGTGGCACGGGCTATGGGAGGACTTCACATTGTTGACGAGGCCATTTTTGAATGATGGCTTAAGGAGGAAAAGACGTACCTGCAAGGCCTTTGCAAGGAACCTGAAGAAAAGACCTTACAAATGGAATACTGGCAGAAGTTGAACAAACTCCAGGCAACAGAGTGAGCTTGTTACCTTCTTACATCAATTGAAAAGCTCTGATCATGCAGAGACAAACTCAATGCTACGACCAAAGCCTGGATGCTACATGGGTCATCCAATGGCTTGACACAAAAACTGGAGACTGCGCCGCCATGCACTCGAAGAACACACAACAAAACTCAAGGCAATTCACCAGCTGGAAGTCATGCTCAACATCACCGTACATTGGACGTCAGAATCACCTAAATGGCAAAATGCAGGCAAACTTGTTGCCATACGCAAGTACCAAAGGGCGCTGGATCAACTTGAAGGCCTGGTTGTTGCACGTATGTTTGAACTTACAAAAATGAATTGGTTGCAAACCGGTGAGTTTTTTATTATTCAAAATACTACATATTTATGAAGTGATGATATACTAGGGTATGCTTTGTGGAAACATATTGCAAAAGCACTTCAGGTGCGGTCTGCAGCTATTTAAACAGCACTAGAGAAATACAATGCCGCTGCTAGATCACTACAACCCCCTCGCCGCACTTTGAAATGGAAAGAGGTGGTTGAGTATGCATTTTTATTCCGTACATGCGGAGACCAAACACGTATCTTCACCCCGGCTCTTGCACATCAAATCAGACTCCATTGTTAGGAAAGGGGTCATTTCAATAATGTGCATGTCACTTGCTTTGTTGAGATTTCGTATCTACCAGGCTTCAGTGGGACCATAGTTCCAGGAGAGAGCGTACTTACAGGCCCTGGTGAGAATGCAAGCAAAGTGGCAATCCTTAGCCCTATCAACTACATCAAATACACCGGACAACGATCCTGGGCCGCACAATGGACAAGAGCGCGTTCAAGATGATCTTGAGGAAGATTTAGAGGAAGAGGAGGAAGATGAAGAAGGACTGCAGGAGACGTCGCGTATGCTTGAAGGTATTGTGCACATGTCCGGTGATGTTTGAAGGTGATATCAGTGACAACTTTATTATGATCGTTTCTATTGATTTTATTCGTACTTTTACATGGTGTGAGTGGCATAATCTAAGGTATACCTATCAAACTTCTACATTATAGCACTGAGAACGTGTTGGCGTTGCGTCTTTTTGTTGGCGTATGAGGAGGCACGCTTGAGACATGTCTTGTTGATTGTCATGTGAGTGATTAGATGCCTGTTGTTAGACACTGCGGAGCAGAACTTGAACCGGAACTTACCGTGTACTAGGCAGCGGTTGAACTTTAATTACCGGCAGGGGGAAGAGCCGCAGGACAGGATGACGTCAAACTGTACAGTTACAAACCCTAATTTAGCAGCTGTAGTTGTTGCACCAAGTCCCTCCCAATCCATACAGTATTCCGGAGATAATAAAAGAGGCCCGCAAGCGCCCTAACGCCTCTAATTAGAAATGTGTCACGCAGGTGATATCACTTCTAATTAGAGGCGTTACATGGGAGTCACAGGTGCATCTGCTTCAACTAAATTTGATGTTGATGAATTCTCTATAGACTCACCTGAGTCTGCGAAAATAGAGAATCTTGGAGTTTTGAAACCTAAAGATTACCCCATGATAAAGTTTCGGTACCGGAACTAATACAACATTTCAAAGAAGGTCAAGAAGGGTTTTACCGTTATTGTGGAACTAATTGCGGAACCAATTCACAGCACAAAAGCGGTTGGCTCAAAATTATTGGCTAATGGACCTGCTCGGATGGTTGAGGGTGTGAACATTTTATACCCGCATATTGAGGACAAGCATGGTGTGCCTGTGTCATCAGATCATGCCCATGAAATGCAGCTATTTTCATCGAAGATATTCTGTCACTTGCACAGGAAAGGTGCAGCTCTGAAAATGTGGGGCAAGGCTCTCATATGGATCCAAAATTTGTACTGGTTGTGGATGGAGTCAAACTTCGAAGAACTGCAATACTGTGATTCTCACTGGAAAGTCAATCACCTGGCAAGTTGTATGTACCCCGGTTGGTATCGATATCATGTTAAAGAATTGCACCCAGTTACATCAGCAACCATTCAGTTCATTTTGGTTGGGACTTGGGACAATTGAGCAAGTGTTACGATAACACAATTTTCGGACCTTTCCTTCTTTTTCATTCTCTGCTTTAACCTTGTACACTTTAGCTTTCACACATAGTGCCACCCGGCACTTCCCCTTTTGTTCAAAACTCCTTTTTCTCACACCACATTGTCTTATTCTTATTTTAGATACAACTCTCTCACACAGTGGAGCTGGTCATGCAGGCTAGGCCCCATGACATCATCAGCCACTAACTTTATCAACTGTACAGTATATAAGTACAAATACTCTGTATTAGTATATATACCCCAATAGATCCAGGAGACTCCTTAGCAAGTCCTCCTGTTGTTAACCAACAAACTCTCTGCAGCCTAAGGGGTAACCACTCCCCATTTACTACCTTTATAGTGTGTTCCTGTGTGTACCAGAGTAACTAACTCTTGGTTGTTACAGCAAGTGTCCGAAGAGGCTAATTTATTGCATCAAAGAGATTCAGAGAGAGGTTCTACACCTGTTTCTACTCACTCAACTTCAGTGGATCCCCTATACAGTGTGACAGTATGTTTTTTCATTTATTCTTGTATCAAATCTCAGACTCCCTTTCATAGATAGAGAATCCTTTGTAAGTTTCTACACAGTAAACTAACACTCATGTTTGCTTACTTTCAACAGGTCCAATCTGATCCAGTACAGCCAGACAGAGGAACATTGGTGCGTATTTACAGTGCTACATTTTCTATACTGACACCCAGCCTCTCCAGCTCATCTTCTTCCAGTGCATCTGCCCTCATCTGCCTCAAAGCCTACCACAAACATAGCAAAAAAACCAGGACCTGGAGTATTTTGGCCTTCAAAATATTTCACCACATAGTGAGTATTACTCTCAAGGTTTTTGCACTAACCTTTCATTTGAATAGCAATTACTGCGGTACCAAATAGCTGAAGGACAATCCCAATAGCATGTGTGAAAAATTCAAGCCATATTTTGGGGCTCTTTCAAGCGAGACAAAAGCGGTTTGTTCTGTCTAAATTAATATATGCTCTACTGATGCATTTCCTAGGAATTCAATAACAAAGCACAAGCTGCACAAAAAGTATGCACATAGCTTGTTACCACATAGGTTATCTCCACCAATATATATTCTTCAGGCAGCTCAGGATACCACTACCAAATAGGCATTATTTTTCAATACTCCTTGTCTGTCTTCTCCTCACCTGTATTCTGCTCATTATACATGTATAATTTATAGTGCTGTTTACGTTGTTCTTGCTCTGTGTTTTTATATTGAAACAAATAGAATTATATTGATATTCTCAAAAGTTTAACCTGAGATATGCCTACAACAACATCTATATGATTCTATATGAATGTGATGATATAAAGAATCTCTATCAAATTATATCGAAAAATTTTGCGAATACTATCAAAATTGTGTATAATTTAATACAGGCCAATACAATTCTATATACGTCAATATTTGATTCCAAAGTCAGCGGACTTGTTGGTTTTTTGCATTGATGCGTCATTTTCACAAATTATACAGATTCATATAGAACAAGTTTTCACTGGGTATCAACAATCAACCATAAATCTAAATCACCTGTGACTCCCACACTCACCTTCTCATTAGAATTTATATCACTCACCCAATGATCACTGTCCTCACTGCAATACTGCATGCTACCAGGAAGAATGGCCAAGGAAATCATTTGTTTATATCCCTCTCATCACTCGCCTGGTTGCATGTTCAAAACGGCATACTGACCAAATCATCCATCCTGAGTGATATTTGCAGACTGATGGACAAATGGAGAGGCTCAATCAAGAATTAAAACAATACCTCCATACATTTATTAATGACAGGCAGACAAATTGGGCCAAGTGGCTAAATATAGTCCAGTTCTTGTACAATATCAAACAGTCATTGGCTACAGGGAAAGTACCATTCAAGCTTACAAGATTGTACCTCCCCAGAATGGGTGTAGAACCTAGCAAAAGCAAGAACGGCACTGCTGAGAGCATGGTCAAGGACATGAAATCTGTCTTAGACAAAACATGCAAGGCACTATTCAAAACTGCAGAGCAGATGAAAGACAAGGCAGAGCATAGACACTCTAAGGCCCCTGATTACAAGGTTGGCGACCTGGTTTACTGGATTAAGGAAGTCAAAACCAATGTAGTTGAGCTGGAACTCCCAAAATGAATGAGGGTAGTACCAACAGTCAACTTTAGCCATGTGAAACCCTACAAAGGGCCACTACCAGGACAGCGCATAGACCGGCACGAACTGGTTGTAGTCACCCAGAAAAATTTGAAGTTGAACGGGTGGTGGATGCGCACTTGAAGCGTGGAAATTTAGAGTTCCTAATCCTATGGAAGGGCTATGGAGGCAAAGACAGAAGCCCATCTGGACAATTTCCGCGATGCTGTTCGCAAATTTTATTCCAAGAATCCCTTGGCTCCTAGGAAGCTTAGAGGCATGAATTCAAACATTTTTTATTCCCTTTTTCAACCTATGCCCAAAAATTTAACTACTACCTCCGGTACTTGGTCTCGCCTGGAAGTCGAGCCTTAAAGGGGGGGTAGTGTTACAATAACACATTTTTGGACCTTTCCTTTTATTTTTCATTGTCTGCTTTAACCTTTACTGTAGTTTTCACACTGCGTGCCATGTGGCACTTTCCCTTTTGTTCAAACTCCTCTTTCTCACGTGGTGCTGCCTTTATTCTTAGTTTAGCTACAAGTCTCTCATGCAGTGGAGCTGGTTACACGGGCTACGCCCTCTGACATCATCAGCCACTGCCTTATCAACTGTATAGTACAACATGTACAAACAACCTGTAGTAGTATATACACCGCAATAAATACAGGAGACTCCTCAGCAAGTCCTCCTGTTGTTTACCCACAACTAACTCGGTCCTGTCCTAAGGGTAACCACTCCCCTTACTACCTTTATAGTTAGTTCTAGTTGTGTGCCAGAGTATACAAACTCTAGGTTGTTACACAGCCCGTGTGACCAGCTCCTACTGCGTGAGAGACTTGTAGCTAAAATGAGAATAAAGGCAGCGTAGTGCGAGAAGGTGGAGTTTCAACAAAATGGAAAGTGCCACATGGCACAAATGTGTGAAAACTATGGTACAAAGTTAAAGGGGAGAATGAAATTTAAAGGTCCAAAAATTGTGTATTGCAACACTACCCCCCTCCTAAGGCACAACTTCCAGGCGAGACCAAATTCTGGAGGTAGTGGTTAAATTTTTGGGCATAGGTTAAAAAAAGGAATAAAAAATGTTTGAATCCATGCCTCTAAGCTTCCTAGGAGCCAAGGGATTCTTGGAATAAAATTTGCGAACAGCATCGTGGGAATTGTCCAGATGGGCTTCTGTCTTCACCTCCATAGCTCTTCCATAGGATTAGGAACTCTAAATTTCCACGCTTCAAGTGCGCATCCACCACCCGTTCAACTTCAAATTTTTCTGGGTGACTACAACCAGTTCGTGCCGGTCTATGCGCTGTCCTGGTAGTGGCCCTTTGTAGGGTTTCACATGGCTAAAGTTGACTGTTGGTACTACCCTCATTCATCTTGGGAGTTCCAGCTCAACTACATTGGTTTTGACTTCCTTAATCCAGTAAGGACCAATCCACTTCTCAGTCAGTTTTCTAGATTGCCGATCTTTCAATTTTAAGTGGTCGGTATCTAACCAAACCAGGTCGCCAACCTTGTAGTCAGGGGCCTTAGAGCGTCTACGCTCTGCCCTGTCTTTCATCTTTTCCGCAGTTCTAAATTGCACCTTGCGTGTTTCCTCTAAGATAGACTTCATGTCTTTTGCCATGTTCCCTGCAGCCTCGTTCTTGCTTTTTCCAGGTTCTACACTCATTCTAGGAAGGTACAATCTTGTAACCTCAAATGATGCCTTTCCTGTAGCCGACAACTGCTTAATATTGTAGGACATATCAATTCCTACGCGGCCAGTGATGCCCCTCCCTCAACTCCCTCAACCTCGTCACAACTGCCAACTACGCCGCCAGCGCCCAGAGCCGGTACTCCTTATCCCTTCCGGCCGCACTCCCCGCATGCAGTGCACAAATCAGAGACAGACCCCCACGTCGAGCAACGGCTAGTCTCCGGATGGAAGGCCGTTGAGGGACAATGAAGGTGATGCCCCATCTTCGGGCAATAGAAGCAAAAGGCCCTCACCTATCTCGGACTATTCCAATTCCACTCATTCACAATCCTCTTCCGAACAACGACATTGCCCTTGTATTTGACTCTGTTATTCCTGTCAAAAATATGGCCATCGTGCCATCTATTGTTGTTACCATCCTTGTTCCACGTGCGGACTAGATGCCCCCAGACACCGCACTAACGGATGTAACCAACAACGGAAATACCCCTTCACCCCAGATAGTTGGGGATTAGACAACATACATAACGACTTAGACAAAGACGCACAATACAACATAGACGGAGAGTTAGGAAGTTAGGAGACTTTGGACCAGTCTGAACGTAAAGAGGGGGTAATGTTACGAACTATGTCTCTTATGGACTTTATTTTCTTCTCTAAGTAACTATGTACTGCTACTCATTCTTATTCCCACACTAGTTACCTGTTACGGTTTCTCACCCGTCATCGTTTATTCAACACAAACACCTACCCTAAAGTAGGACAGTATATATAGACACCTGTATTGTAGTAAACATCTCCAATACAATTGTACGCTTCAACAGTGCAACTTGGTATTCATCAGTAAAATCCTCTCCATCAGAATACGTCTCAAACCAGTTACCTACGGGCTTATCAGAAACCGCTTCATTGCCAGAAACCCCTCTTGTTACCAGGCTTGTACATTCCAAGTGTAACAGTAAATGCATATGTTCAAGAAAATGGTAAACTTACTACAGTAGATACCATGGACTCGGGCTTCAGGATATTGTTAACTCTGACACTAGTAACTGTATAGTTTGCTCATAGATCACTTTTCGAATTGTGATGACCTTAGAACATTGTTTGCTGTTGCATGTCTTCTTGAGACCCAACATTGGGAACATCAACCATAGAGACCAAACAACGGGGGCATGGACAACTACCAAGATTCCTTATATTTGCAATCAGAATCCTGTAGCCCAATAAACAGTTAGTTATGTGTTAAGGAAGAAGGTGTAAAACTGTACTGCTTTGGATAGTTTGCAGAGTATGTGAAGATGTGTGGATAGAAATGTCACAGACCCCATCACAACACATGATGACAATGTTACAATTGACATACCAGCACCTACTTATGCTTCACTTTTTGTACTTTTACTTTTTGTTTTCCGAGTCACATGACTAATCATGTGACCATTTATTTTACTTTACATTTTCGGACTTTTAATCTTTGAATTCATCAGGCAGCTAAGAACAAATGGTGAGTATCAGTAACCATATCATAGAAGACTGCATAGGAGAAACAAACTCTCTTGAAGTAGGCTGTATGATTGCAGAGATTACATGAAGGCTTGGGGTGCCAATATTTTGATTTATTACCAAAGTACACATAGGGGGGCCACAGCTTTGATTTGCCAAAGGAGGTTAAATATGTAGCATCCAACCATAGCATAAGTGCTATGACAACATGTGGCAAACTGCAGCCAGGCTCTGGAGGTGAATTTTGCAGATTTTTATGGGCCTCTAAAAATGCATCTGAGGTGTATAGCTCACCATATACACGGCTTTTGCCTGACTGATGAGGTAGGCACCACAGTAGTTAGTATAGCTCGTAGTGGAAATGGCAATCATCCTGTGGGTTCACAAGCTTTCTGCAAATCAAGGACACAAGAGAGTGATAATACACGTCCACTACGCAATGTGACAACACCGACAAGACACAGTCTTGGTGCACTGGAGCACAACGAAAACAACACTCAGAAGAAGAGGAAGAGGTGGGAGTGGTTACCCATTTGGTAGGAACAAGTTAGTTATTGGTAGACAACAGGAGGACTCGCTGAGTCCCTCCCCATGTATTGCTCCAGTATATATACTAAAATACATGAGGTACTGTACAGTTGTAAATAAAGTTTAAAGTCCAATGTTTAGTATGTGACTGGTCACATGATGAGTCTAGACACTGGTCAGGTGTTGTGTCACATGACTGGTCATGTGACTATGAAAAGTCCGAAAATGTAAAGTAAAGTAAATAG